ACACTTTTTTAAAACATATTTTTTAAGATTATATAAATTCTGTTTTCGGCTTGAAACTCCAAGCTGGTTCTTCGTGAATAATAAGATTCAAAATTTTTAAATCATCGTACACACAGAGTAAAGAACTATTCTATCGTTCTATACGAACTTCCTCGCATTCAACATCAATTCTAAAAGAAATCATCTTACAAAAATCTTAAGATTTCAGAAAAAAAATGAGGAGCCTAATAATTCAATTGAATATCTAATAACCTTTTTGATTTTATGTTAATAAAGAAAATCTATCGGAAGAACAGAAAAGGCAATGGTATAGAAGAATAGTTTTGATAGACAAAGTTCATTATAAAAGATCAAAAATGATCTTGATAAGAATATTGTCCGTTAGGGTAAAAATGATGAATCCGATTAGCAGCACGAACAATAATATCACATTGTCGAATTTTGGCTATAAGTTTTGTACATTCATCTCCAATAAAAATAAGAAATACATTGTTGAGAATAATCAAGATGAATAAACACTAACTCACGGCAATCACCACAAACACAACGTTTTTAGTTATTTGAATGGACTTTGGTAAAGATCGTTGAATGAAATTAAATGCGATAGATTTGTTTTCACTATGACCGCATAAAATAGATTGAATAGTTTCTCCATCTTTTAATTCACGAGTTATCCAAGAAGAATCAAAATTATAACCATGCCTAGTCACTTCAGACGTCTTACGATCGATTTCAGCATCGATTTCTGATGACTATGGATGACAATTATCATGGGCTATGAATTGCTAAATAAATCAATGAAAGAATTGGCGCTTTATTTTATGTGTTGTGAACCCCCTCATTCCCTCCGAACACTAGATATTTTTGCTTTTATTAAAGTCTTTGTTCGGAATGATACGAGGATACAAGATCACTAAACTGAAATCTGGAATATTTTTCGTTCTAGGAAAAAATCAATATTTTAAGTTATAGACTATTTTCAGCGATAATAGGTCTTCTGTTTTATTATGATTGATATCTCATCTGTAGGTCCATTAACGATTACAAAACATCTCGCTATTTACACAACTAAAGATTCTCAATAAAATGAAAATAAAATCATTCTATTTTCTTTCTTTACTTACAAATACTACTTTTCAAAATAATGCCTTTGTGAATTTTTTTTTCAGTATATCAGAAAGATGGTTTAACTTATAATTTCACAATGACTTTGTTTTGAAAATTGAAATTTTTATCATCAATGCAGATTTTAACCGTGTCTCAAATAATTTTGAAAAAGCCAGCAAAAGAATGATGCTACTCATAACTATGTTTCGAACTTTAGACGCGAGAAACTCTTTATTGTAATGACGAATTGCTAAACGCGATTCTCTTTCATAGATAATGTCATGATAACAAAAAGTTTTACTCAAACCTTATGCCTTTCTCGTATTATTGAAAAATGAATGCTTTTAGACTACGGTCACTACTACGTAGAAAAGCTGGAAAACCGGTTTCTATTTCTATGTTGCGATTAAGCAGAAATTATATGGGACACTATACAAGTTTTTTCGCCAGCCGTTAGGCTCGATATTCAAAGGCTGATTCTAATGTATTTTTTCAAAATAGTGTCCTTCAACATCAATGCATTTTTGCATTCGAAAAAAACAGTTTTCGAAATAATTTTTGAAGTTTTCCTTGGTAAGGCCGTCAATGGCTTGTTCTAAATTAGTTAACACCGCATTGTCGTCATCGAACCGAATTCCAACTAGTTGATTTTTCACTTTTGGAAATAAGAAGTCTCAGGGGCTTATCTCTGGCGAAGTGAGTCTGTGGGTGTGGGTAGGTGTATGAGCGTGGGTATAGTTCAAGATGGGCTCGTCATCCAAACCCAGCCAAATTTAAGATTTGGATTTGACTGAAATTGAATTTCGTGCACCCCTATATGTTGGTAAATTATTGGCTTCGTTGTTTGCACATGACTATGTGGTTGAAAATCGTTACCCATTGCTCCAACTGCTTGCTAAGCTTCTCAAATGTTTTATTCGTGTCTAGATGTAATACCGTGAGGCCCGAAACTTTTAGCTTTTGATTGCACTCATTGTTACTAGTTTGGAAATCGTATTTTCACACTCTGAAGTAGTCCTTTCTGATTGGCAACTCATTGTCTCACTCTGACGCATTGAGAAGTGTCAGAAGATGTTCGCCGTGGAACTGATAGATTGTTAAATGATCTAAAGCTGGCCATTCACAGGAATATTTCAGCAGTGTAGCATTAGCTGTTTTATGCTATACTTCTTCATATTTCTAATTGCGTAACAGTGATTGTTCGATCGTATCGTCTCTTGAATAACTTAGGTTGATTAATGAAATGGAACAAAAGAAGGAAGCAAAGTATAATGGAAAATAAAGACACCATCATAGCATTCAATGCAGAAAAGTAAGCCAACTAGAACACTAAATGACTAATATTGATTGATCGATTTATAAGAGAAAAGCCGATCATTGATCTCGATTCTATTGCTATCTTCATTCGTGTCCATAATCCAATCAGTTTGCACTTTGTACATGACATTTAAATGGGTTTAACTTACTCTTCAAATCCCCCAGTAATCTATTTACCACAGTCAATGAATTTCAATCAAAACAATCGTTGAAAATTTATTGTTTTGTTATTATCAACTTTAGCCTATATCTTATGTTTGTGAGGGTTTGTGTTTTTTCAAATGATCCATACGGTACTTTTCGAAGCAACCAACATTTTACTTATCTTATCTTTCTTTTTTTTATTCTATTTGAATATCATTCACCTATGGACTTGACCGAGAACGACTGCACTTATCGAAAATAAAAACTTGACGGTGAGATTTAAATCATGAGTGTGCGGAAACACGAGAAATAATTTATTGCCTTACAAAGCCTTCTATTTAAAATAGAAAATATACACAACACTGTAATTCTGTCCATAGCGATAGGTCTTGAACATTGTTCATTGACTTCAAACCGTTAACCATGACCGGAATGTATCCACTTCTATTCGAAAAGCAACTATTGATGATTAGAAAGCTCAACTATTCCATGAGAGGCTTCTTATTACATTGAATACCTGAATAAACGATAGAAAGTTATAGTTGTGGCTTGCTCGATCCTCGCCTGGATGTTCAGCTCTTCCAGTATAGTACACTATCTTAGTCGCATTAGCGACACTGATATCCCACATATGTGTATTTTTGACTGTTGCTGTCCATTGAAATGCCGGCATGTCTCTTTTAGAAGGTATGTGTGTGTATACGTGTTGGACGGATGTGTTTAAATACTACATGCACGCACCTCACACACACCCTCTTTTGTGTTTTTAAATGTAGTTAACCGCTGAACAGCTTTTCAGCTTTTTTATGCGAAAAAATACTTAAAGTTTGTCGCTATTAAAAATTTTGATGCCGAAAACTTGTACAAATTAAACAAACTATATAAAAGGAGGGTATGGATGTAGCTGTTCTCTTTACTCACACCAACAATCCACACCCCACACCCATCACGACCAAGTTGTCATCTTGGTGATCATAGATCGGTCTATGTGAACAAACTTACCTATTTGAGCTTCCTGAAAACTTTGAAACTTAGCAAATACCTTTGATAAACTGTATAGATATAGTTGCAGAAAAGTCCCACATTGATCCAGCTAATTCAAGCATAGGCTTTGTTTCTAGTCCGACGGATATTAATTGATCGAAAACCATGTCGTTCAATCAACTTGCTGATGGTCGTGCATCATAAAATACTCAAGAATATCAGTATATGTAATAACTAAAAATGAACTGTACTCGAATTCATTAAGATAGAAGTTGTATTAATATTCACAATAAAATAAAAACTGTTATCAATAGTAATTTTACCATGTTCACTATGACCACTTTTTTTGGATGAATACTTTTGAAAGTTTGTTTCACCTTTTATTATTCAACGAATAGTCAATTAAAAGAGATCAAGAAAATAAAAAACAATAATTAATATAGTTTAAATAGAAGATCATTTGATGGATTTAGATAAATATGTCGTTAGCACTCGTTAATATGAATAATTCCAGTGCATTTCCATGAAATGAATTGTCGTCGCTATCTTTATCTCGATCATACGCAAATACGGATTGAACTTGCTGATCCAAAGATTGATTGTTCTGCTCATTTACGTCGCCAAGCAAATTAATTCTTGCCATTCGTATCACGCAATTATTAAATTATTGCAATTTCTGATGCATTAGCGCAAAAAATTTCTCCATCGATCTTAATAACACGAGTTAATAGAGGTATAAGTACCATTTTACTGGTGGAGTAAGTTCTTTTGTGTGCGATGCATAAAACCTTAACTAAAATCAACATAAATTAAACAACTATTCAATTTCTGAAGAACCTCGAATGAACTCAGGGTGTGGGGATGAGTATCGTCTTTTTACTTTTACTATTCGCCTCTCCTTCAAGATAAACTACACATGTGATTGTCTTACAACAATAAAAGAAAGCAAGAAATGATACACATATGACGAAGCCATGTCGAACAACATACAAATGAGTAATGTAACCTTGTAGTCTGTAAGCGGTATTTTCTGTGATGACTTCTGATCGAAGACATGTTAACGCTGATAGAGTTACGTTTCATTCTAATCTTTGAAATCATACAATCGCATCGGTTACATATAAAGCACACGCTGATATACGTTACCATTTGAGAGAAGAAGCGAATATGAAAGGACAGAAGAATAAGGCAGAACTTAAGAGCAATGAAATAGGGGCAATGCACAGCACGATGTACAGTGTAAGGGCAGAAAGATAAGAACAATGCATAAGATGAGAATTAGTAGTAAAAAAATATCGAATTCCATGCATACAATGCACTCAACAAAGAGCGTTACATTTTATCCTTTTCTTATCTTTCTGCTTCGTATTTCTTATTTTGTTCTTACAGTGTTTCACATTACTATAACATTGTAGGATTTCATTCTTACATAACGTCTGTTGTAGGTTATGGCCAACAACAGCAGTTCTCGACAAGGACAGATTTTTGATAATTGCTCGTATCTTTACATTAACTTATACTTTGTATCACATGATGATATAGAAGATTTATGTAAGATAATTAATTGGGCATATAGAGGTAAGCCTTCACCATTGTCGCCTGGAGAATATTATTTCGGTTGGATTGGTGAACAACATTTATTGATAGGTGCACGAATTACGTTCAAAGAACTTCAACAGTTAATCGATGATAAACCACATAGTCTTCTTCTTGTTGCAAAGCTTAAAACATTTTCTGGACCGAAGCTTGTTCGCTGTTGTAAAATTAGTCTACATGAAAAAAATTTACAGATGAGTGATGAAGAAAAACAAGATGTAGCTGTTGAATTCGTTCTGAAAGCTGTAGATCCTGATTATTGAAGTCGTGGTATTGGAACACTCTTGTACAATGGAGCCATAGTAAGTTTGGCAATGAGCTGTATTTACTCAACAGACGAAGTCATAGTCTTATTCTTTTTTTAGCGTGTTGCAATAGAATATTTCAATGCACAACGGGTTTATTCTCATATAATATGCAGTAAGCGAAATCAAATTGAATGGTGTTTACGGCAGGGTTTTACTAAATCTTCTGACTTTTTGAGTATGATCCTGATAGAAACTCTATTCATTTCATGAGCTAATTTTCGGGATTTCCTCTAGATTTTCAGTTTCGATAGATTGGATATTCCAGGAGGATCATTCCGGTGGTCTGAAACAGCATCGAAAACGGCCTGAAATGGTTATAGAACCCCATAAAGCTACATTAATTTTCACTCTATTTCGCCGTAATCCGTCAGCTCGTTTTACATTGTTTTATGCCTTTTTTATATCGTTTCAGGCCGTTCACGGATCGTTTTCTTGCACCTAGGATAAGAAACCTATGAATCAGCAGCAGATCACCGAAGAACAGTGTGAGTGTATATATGAGTGTCAATGTGGATGTGTGTCTTGATTCCAGAAAATAACTATTTCTGTCGCAACCACATGCACACTTATCCTTCTTGACATTTATATCATATAATTTTTTATCTGTGCAAAAATCGAAAACTGTGCTATCCAGAAATTTCGTGAACTTATTGCAGCCATTTGGATTTCATGAAATGCTCTTGAACAGTTTGAATCTAATTGTTAATGCTATTCGGCATGATTTTCTGTTGCAAGGAGATTTCAGAAAAAGAGCCTGATATCCTCAGCTGCTGGAGAACCATTCGTATCTAATGATCTCTGACTCCGGTTGTATAGCGAGTCACAAAATGCCGATTTAATACTTACACTCACTATATTTGTCTTCGAAAAACATAATATTGTTTTCATATAATGATCGATATAACCCAAAAATTACTTGAAAAGTATTTTTGAACATTTTATACTTGATTTATATACTTTATCTAAATCTAGTCATTGAAAACAAATGTGTTTTAGAATACTTAACAAGATGAACGAAAAACAAAGTTTAAGTATTTATCGATCATCAGATTGTATCGCATCAATTAGAACATTTGTTGGTTATAGCAGTAATCGTTACTGGCGTTTCATCAATGAGCATTTCATTCTTAGAAAAAGAATCGAAGCGAATCGATCCAATAAATTTTATATGATTCAATATTTTTATCTAATATTTCTAATAATTTTAGTAAATTGTTTACCAGCAAATTGTGATCTAGTATGAAGAAGTTTAAATAGAAGTGTTTTATTGCATGACGTACATACAGTTTGTTCAGCAATTCGATCGAGATGAACATTAACCAGAGAATAAAAATTACATGTATTAGAAGGAAAATATTCTGAACGCATTTAAGACACTATTAATGCTGATTGAATATATAGGGTGGGTGTGGATATGATTATTGTTCAACCCTTCAAACCCACACACAAACACTCGCCCCACGCCCACACCCATTTAAGTGCATCTTGGACGCTGCTTTAGAGGTGAGTGTCTGCCAAGAAAGAAAATATCACAAAGTTCATAAAATAGGTGAATAGCATTAATAGGACCATATAAGTAAAATGTATGTTTTAAATTGAGGATCTACTTATATTCATTAGTTATTATATAGTTATACAGTGTCATGTATTTACCATGTGTTATAGGCCATTTTGCCTTCTTGAAGTTCTTTGAAGTATAATAAAATCAAAAACTTACAGTCAGTATAGTAAAAAACCAAGTACTGATCAATAATGCAGTTATTTGCTCAGATTTTTCCGAAACTTCACTCCAAGGTTTAATTTGTTATTTAGTAGAGCATGTTATCATCTATCTTCAATGGACGCGCATAAATGCACACTTAAAGCCTTGTTGAGATATTGAGTCTCAAATGTAACCATCTATCAGAATTTGTTGACGATTTTTATAGGTCATCAAGGTTCGAATCTATATATATAAAGAAAAATGTTTGTCTGTCTGTCTGTTCGCTATGCATTTCCATACGGTACGAGTAAATGCAACCAAACTTTTGAGGAATCTTCCTCTCATCCAGGAGAAGGTCGACATTTACTCTTTTTTTCAAAAACAGTTGATCCTTCGCCCGAAAAAAGCCTGCCAATGTTGCTAACCAATCAGATTGCAGTATTCGGTACTGTAGAAGTACTGTTGAGCACCACTTCGTGGACATACAGAAATATGGAACCAGAGGTTTTCTAGGATGGTGAGTTCGAATCTGGAGTCCATTTGTCTCGAAATCTGATTGGTTGTCCCGAAACCAATAGGAACTCAGCTCCGAAGAAAACAGACGAAACCATTGAATACTTTCTAGAAAACGATGCCGCAGGGGTTTTGGATGCGACAAGTTCGAATTCGGAGTTCATTTGCCTCAAAATCTGATTGGTTGTTCGGAAACCAATAGAAAAACAGCTCCTAAAAAAATAGACAAACACTTATACTATCGGGAAAATGATGAGGCAAAGGTTGTTTAGATGTGATAAATTCGAATCTGTGATCCAATCACTTCGATAGCTTAATGATCAGTGAAGAACCAACAGACACCGAGTTTTTGGGTAAATGAGTATCACTGAGTGATTGCAAGAAGGACATTAGAAATCGGGAATCCGTCGAGCATGATACTTTACTGGACGACCGGTAGCTTAATTGGATGAGTCATGCCAAATACACATATGTTTTAGAGAAATTGATACCTTGAAGATCATCTGCGGTGGGAATCTATCTATACTTTCAGGAAAACAATGAAATAGGAGTTTTTTGAGGCGGTGAGTTCGAATCTGGAGTTCATTCGTCTCGAAATCCTATTGGTTGACCAGAAACCAATAGGAATCGAGCTTTTGAGAAAACGAATATCACTGGATGATCGGAGGTAGGACATTAGGAATCTGAAGTCTATTAAGCTCGATACTATTCTTTTAATCATGTTTTGAACGAAAATGTTTCAAAATAATGTCAACTTTTACAAAGAAGCTTTTTTAACTCCAAAATAATGTAGCAAGGATTCAAAGCTTTCATCAAAAGAATTTACGAGAGTGATTTTCAAAGCGATTTAGAAGATGTTAGTCGGTGCCGATAACAGAGATCGCTTTTTTGAAACATAGTGACTATATACAGGCATGAATTTGGAAAAAAACAAGAATATAATGAAAAGGAAAATGAACGATAGGGGAAAATACCAAAGCAATGTCAAAAAAATACAGCACTTGGCAAATTCCTGAACGATAGTAGGAGATGGATACCGTACATATTATCTCTGTGGTATGGTACATATTGGAAATGTACCAGAAGGAGAAACAATGTATATATGAACACTTCCCTTGACTCATATTGATGACGTGTTAGTTACATGCATCTATTTCTACTTTCTATTCTTTCCTTTTTGTCTAAGATATTTCCGTAGTGCTCCTTTGGTTTTTTCCATTAATAGTATTTCAAGGCTATTCATAGGAGGGTTTTCATTTACGAATCTTGGGTATAAATCTACATTTATAAAGAAGAAAGTCTATTTTTCCGTTTGTTTGTTCTTTATGCATTTTCACACGGTGCGAGCAAATGGAACCAATCTTTCTCAGGAATCTTCCTGACATTCAGGAGAAGATCAGCGACTACTTTTTCTCCAAAAAGTATCAATCCTTCGCCCGCAACCGCTCCGTCTGGGTGCCTGACCAATCAGATTCAAGGCTTTGATAGTATGAGAGAACTACTCAGCAGGACGTTGTGAGTAGACACAAGACATACACCCATAGGTTTTCAAGGGTGCTGAGCTCGAATCTGAGGTCCATTTGCCTCACAATCTGATTGGTTGACCAATAACAAACTGGAATCCAGCTGCGAAGAAAACAGACAAAAACACTTATACTCTCGGGAAAACGATGAGATAGAGGCTGCTAGAAATGATGAATTTGAAGCTGTGGCCCAATCACCTCGATAACTTATTCTTTAGTCAGGAACCAACAGGAAACAATTCTATATAGGAAATCCATTGATCTCGATATCTTACTGGATCATCCATGACTCTACCTGGTGGATCGTGTCAAATACAAGCAGAGCCTCAATATCGTACGTTTTATCTCTGTGTTAAGGTGCATATTGGAAATTCACTAAAGGGATGAGTCATACATTGTCATTGGAATGTTTCCATTACGCCATATGATGGAATTATCGAAACATTTCAATGGGTTCTATACATATCCGGAAATCCCTTGCTTTTTTCATGGTCAACTTTATGTGGCATGTTCTAGAGTTGGAACTAGAAAGAATTTGTACTTCGTTATCCCAGACGCAAAAAGTAAAAATATTGTGTATTACATAGATTATATAATGTCTCGAGTATCCAATATCGAATTTTTCCGAGTAACGCCGAGTACTTCCGCTAGTTGATAAATAAACAGCAAACATATTCCAACTTCTGATTTTATATTGACCGTTGCATTTTAAAATCGGCTCTTTAGCTCCTTCTTAGGATTTAAATATATGAAAAAACATGCATAGGTTCCCTTGTAAGACGTATACTCTAGAACAAAAATCTTTCTTCTCTTTACCTTTTTACGATGTCAAACTTTGTTTTAAATTTATTACTGAGTAGAGATATGACATGAAAGTTTTATTTCGTTCTGGTGTACAGATTACAGTAATAAAACCCTCATGTCATACCTTTACTCAGTAATAAGGGTGTGGATGGCTGTGGATCTTCTTTTAAAACACACCCCCACCCCAACCCTCACCCAGACCCACACTGGTCCACTCCCACATTCACTCACTCTCACGCTCATTCGCAACACCACACCCCCACCCAGACCCACACCGATCCACACCCACATCCACCCAATCTCACGCTCATCCACAAAGCCACACTCAAACAGATCCGCACCCATACCCAAACACATCCGCGTCCGCACCCGCACTCACCCACACCCACACCCACTCCCACCCCCATCCCCAC